CACTTCTAACTGCATGACCACAAGCAAGTTGCTAAACCTCTCCAGACCTCATATGTCAGGTAGGGGTAATCACAGTTCTGTCTGCTTCAGGTGATCGTGGCAGATTCACTAAATGTTTATGAAGTATGTAAAACAGTAACAGACACCAAAGAAGCCCAATAAAAAGTTCATTTTTATTAGTTTCATCTCTTCTCTGCAATAGAAGTTCCGAGTCTGTGATTTGCCTAAAATCATATTTCAGTACAGACTGAGGTGAAAACTCAAGCCCAGGTGTTGTGACTCTAGGGGTCATGTGCTCTTGCCTCTAGGTCCTATTACAGAGTAACATGAAAACACATTCCTGTTGTCAGCAGCTGAGATGATACAAAAGGCTGCTCTTTGCCCATTCCTACCTCTCTCCCCAGAGGTAACCATAGCACACTAATTGGTTGACATTCTTCTCTCTTCTCCATGCCTGGATACTCATAAAAAAAAACCATATACACATAGTATGTCCCTCTCATATGAAAAATGGCAACACTGCCGGCCTTGGAATACTGATCAGGGGTTTATGTAAGTATTTTCAAGCACTTATCATGGCACCAAGAAAGATGTTAGGGTCCTTTATGTATAGAGATTTTTGGGTTTTGTGCATTAATTAGTCAGTATTTGTCTTTATTGTTTCTGGGTTTTTCCTTGCTTAGGAAAGCCTTCCTATCCCACGTTTATTGACAGAGCCTTCTATATATTCTTCTTATACTGCTTTAATCTTGTTTCTACTTTTAGTTTTATAAGTTCTTTGAAATTTGTTTTAGTGTAGTTATGATTTAGGAATCTAGATTTATTTTTCTGTAAGTGGAGAACCAATTGTCTTCATCACTTTATTATTATTATTTATTGATATTATTTTGGTGTGCAGGAGATCAAACCCACATGCTAGGCAAGTGCCCTGCCACTAAACTATCATCATTTATTGAATAATCTATTCGTTTAGTGTATTTGAAATACCAAAGTTAACATACTAAATGCTCTTGTATGTATGAGTATAAAATTGGTCTTCTGTTCCATTGATTTTTTCCCCCCTAACACTGATATTTAAGTACTTTAATTATTTTAGACTTAGAAAATAATCTTATATCAGGAAAGGAAAATTCCCTCTCTTTGGTGCTCTCTTTTTGAAAAAATGTCTTTGTATTTTTGTGCATTCTTTTTCTTCCATATGAATTTATGGGAAAAGGCCATATGTCAAGGAAACCTATGGCTCCCCCCTCCCTCCCTTTCCAAAGGAAACTCCTCTGAGAATTTTTTTTTAAATTTTTATTGTTGGTTGTTCAAAACATTACATAGTTCTTGATATATCATATTTCACACTTTGATTCAAGTGGGTTATGAACTCCCATTTTTACCCCATATACAGATTGCAGAATCACATCAGTTACACATCCATTGATTTACAT